CGGCGATGAGTGTGAGAGGGTGAGGAAGAGAGTGCAAAAGAGAGTGTTACTGTATGTCTATATTAATAATTAAGATTTAAGAATAATGAAAGAGAAAATAATATGAGAAGTTTTTTAGATAATCAGTTATCCTTACAAATTTTAATCCCAATGTGTGAAGGTTTTGTTTAAAGGGCATATTTATATAAAATCACATTACTTAATCTAATTGTCCTTAATAAAAAAATAAAATAGACAAAAATAGTCTGATTATATTATTAAATGCTAGACTATTGAGTTTTGTATAACCTATCATAGTTTAACGTTATATATTAAAAAACTATATATATATATATATATATTTTTGTTTCATTAAGATTATAAATAATAACTAATAAGTCATCAAATTTTACCCCTGAGGCAAAACTGCAATTGGATAGTGGGTATTAGTCGAGCAAGTTTTGGGAAAGCCCAATACTTATACCATGTCAATTCAAGTCCCAAGGACAAGGTGTAATTTGCCTACAGACATTTAAGAAAGAGCCATATTATTTCAGCCACGCTTCTTTTATTAATTAACTCCTTTTTCATTTTGAATAAAAGATAAAATTATAAAATTATAATTTTTGTGTTCTTAAAAGGGTTATTTCCCTCTTTATCTTAAATTAGAATTTAATCAGTCAAATTAGTTTGTGAAATCCCTATGCTTGTAAGGACATTTGTAGATCTAGAAGTGTTGTTAGAAAGAATTATTCTTTAGAAATCTAACAAAGCCTTAGAGGCCACTAAGCAGATATTGATTATGACCAGAGATGATTTTAATCTATGGGTACCCAGTAGAGTTTTCCATTTCATTTGTTTATTGTTCTCTGGATAGAATCTACATATGGAAAAATAAAAAAGTCAAGTTAATATGAAAATGAGACTTGAAAACTATACTAATTGATAGCTTGACGGTTCGCTTAAAACTCTTAAGTGTATTATTCAAGAGATCTTGAGTTCAAATCCCTACGACTACTAATAAAGGATAGTCATTGGAAGCTTACCTAATCCTTAACTGAAGGATCTCGAGAGACTAATTGAGGTGCGCACAAACTGACTTAAACACCCATGGATACAAAAAAAAAAAAAAAAAAAAACGAGACCTGAATAATAGTACTCGTAAAAGAAAAAAGTAACTCTATACATATTAAATCGGGATTCCAATTCATATAACAGTTAGGGTGTGTTTGGTTCAAGGGTATTTGACATTACTCTAGTAATGTCATATTATATTACTTATATTACTATGTTTGGTTGTTAAGTAATAAAAAATTCTGGTAATCTTTTAAAACCAATAATAATTACTGTTGGTTATATATATGATAATCTAAATACCACCGTTTTCTTAGGTATTCTAAGAATACTTAGTAATCTTAATTTTGTTATAATTTTACCCCTAATTATTAAAATTTTTGGACAATAATGCCCTTGTTTTTAACACAATTTATGAGAATATTTTCGGACTATTTTATCCTTATACACAAGATTTTTAGAACATTATTACCCTTGAACTTGAACCAAATTACTCAAGACAGATGGCTAGATCTGGCCACCACCGGCGGCCACCGTGCACCGATCCAACTAGATCAATGGCTGAAAATGGTCGTGAATCTGGCCGCAAACTAGATCCATGGTCGTTAACGGTCAGATCGATGCATGATCGGTCATATTCGACTGATCGTGTGTTGTTCAAGCCATGACCGGCGGTCGGCAATGGCTTGGGTGGGTGGGGGTGATTTTGTTAAAATTTAAACTTTTATTGTGTTTAGGGTGTTTTAGCAAATCTTAAATGTAGGGGGTTAAAAAATAATCCAAACAATAATAATAATATTAGCAATTCAGTAGTCCATATGATATATCCACCAATAAATTTCTCTCAACCAAACATATTAATATAACATATCCATCAATTTATTTTAATCTAACTAAACACATTTAATATAACATTCCCAATAATCTTTAAAGTAATTTATCTTCCTATTAATATAACATTTCCAGTAATACAACATTCACTAAACTATACGCACCCTTAATTTTAAGTCTTATTCTCAAGGTAATATGTAACACTATTTCCTATTTGAGGGCCCAAACGCCATATGATAAAAGTTCGGTGAGAAAAAACAATAATGATAACAATACAATGCAGGTTCTTATATAGCATCTTTTGATATAGCGTTTGGGCCCTTAAATCTGTCCCACGGAACAAAAGACGTCTGCTCACCACTTCTCATATGTGTATTTGAACTTGAGCATTTCGACAGGATGCCATTAAAGGCCTCAACATAATAATAACAAGTTTTTAACTTTTTTTAAGAACTAAAATTTCCATACTAACTCAATTATTTTGAAAGATCATTATCGTTATAGTCATTAAGAATATAAAAATATTCAAAGATTCTAGAGATGGGTTCAGTTCTAAAGACTTCTGTTGAGAAACTCCAACGCAAAGGTCACTGGTTTTCTTCCTTAATACATTTCATGGCCGAGTTGAAGTTGAATGAATTGACAGAAGTGAATTGATTTCTTTAACGTTTCAATATCATTTCAGTTACATTCTTTTATAGCCTTTCAAAATTTCTGAGGCACATGATCCTCCGTCCCTCACCTTTCTCATTACATGATTAACCAGTGGCCCTCTCGCCAATCATTGTCCAATTCGTTGGACGGCAGACAGCTCTCATTCTTTCATCAGAATAAGCAAAGAGGGCGCGGCCCCCTCTCTTTTCTTTTGCATTCAATAACACTTGGTCCCTTCAGTTGGGTGGGTTAATCTTGTCTGTTGTTCCAATCTCCAAAAACATCACCAACAAACACTACTTCAAGAAGATTCAAAACATGTTTGTTAAAACAAGGCCCCTTCTCTCTTTGCATCATTGCCTCTGCTTTTTTCAATCTTTGCATCAATGCACTCATCATGATTTTCTGATAAGAGCTTGAAAATACACAATTACTTAGTGGTTTATGTGGACTATTTGGGAGAAATTAGGCTTAAATTGGTAAATTTATTTAATATTTTCATAAATGTCTTTTATGAGATCATGGGTGTGGTTGAGTGTTTTTCAGGTTATTAGTGCTAAATCTTATGCTCGAATGAAGAATCATTTCAACAATGGAATGAGTAATGAGTAGAAACAAACGGATCGAGAATCGGAGTTGAATTGAAAAAGTTATGGAGCTTTGAAGTAAATATGAGACTCTAGATTACGCTCCAGTTTGAGCGTGCCTCGGTGTTTTGACAATAACTCCCTTGGATTAAGATGATTCTTCGATTGTTGGAAATCTGATTCAAATGGCTACATTTCATATATTTGCCAGTTCTCCAGATTCCATTGTTATCGTGCTAAAAAATCACCATCTCTGAAGTGTTGAGGAATGATGCGAGATTTGAACTAAAGAAGAGAAAGTTATCACTATGCCACAACACACTTTTTCCAGAATCAACCGCGCTGCAGCACAATGCTGGGGCACAATCACGACAACTGGAAATCTTTCTTTCATTTTTTATTAGGAAAATAGGGTTTAAGGGTCCTAAACAAAATATAATTAAGAAAAACAAAACCCTAACCCTTGGGGAATATGAAGAAAAGTTTTTTAGCATTGTTTAGGGATTCTTTGGAGAGAATAAGAGAAGAAAAACTTGCAAAGAAGAAAAGGGACAAAATTTATGGAGCTTTGATTCTCAATATAGAGAAGTTCTTCTCGTTCCTTTCTTACAGACCCATGATGATTGTTTTAATAAAGATGATTGTTTCTTTCATGTTTATTATGAACTAATTTTATTTTCTAGGGCTAAGATGTAACCCAATCTCTTGATTGTGTGTTGATTTATTTACGTTGATTTTTATTAAGATTTATTCCTAAGTTTTATTATTATGTCTCATGCTTTTGATTCTTAAGGGCCCAATTAATGGACTAAGTTGAGATTGAGAGATGATACTTATTTGGTCTATGGTAGTAAAACCATAGGTTGAGCGAACACTAGAGATAGGTTACCGCGACTTGCGAGGTTCTAATAAACTTCATAGAGCGTAATGATCTCAAATTACTTAAATCTGATTAGAGATAATTTGGGTTAGTAATTAAGAGTTAATTTGATAATTGTTCGAGAGAAAATTGTTGAAAATTTAGGGAGTTTGACCTTTAGGAAGGGCTTAATGAAATTAGCATAAGTTATCAATACATAGGAATAAAAGTTGGTGTGAAATTTATGCCTGCATTAAAACCTAAGATTTATTTAGTTGTTTTCTTTTCACTTTTGTTATTAAAATTCAATTGTTTACTTTAATTTAGGTTTTTCTCGATAAAATTTGGATTAATCAAATAGTAATAGGATAGTTATTTTGGTCATTGATAGTAGTAATTCCCTTGGGTTCGACATCCGTATTCTTACACTTTATTACTTGCACGATTTCGTACATTTGCGAAAATCCACAACAAGTTTTTGGCGCTGTTGCTAGGGTATTGCTTTTATATTATCAATATCAATACAAGCTGTTTAATTGCTAATTTGGTTTGTATTATTGTTTTTTTGTTTTTAGTGCTTTAATTTTTATTTCTATATTTTTAGTGTTGGACTGTACACAAGAGTTAGGTTCAATGGCAGATACAGGAGGAGAAGAAGTTCAAAGGGCACTTAAGGATTACTTAAGACCTACAATTGAGGGATGTGCTTCTATTATTAGGAGACCACCGATTCAAGCAAATACATTTGAGATAAAGCCAGACATTATTCAGATGATACAACATTCGGTTCAATTCGTAGGGTTGTCCAGCAATGATCCTAATTTGCATATCACAATTTTTTTTGGAGCTATGTGATACATTCAGATATAGTGGGGTATCTAACAATGCAATTAGGCTTCTCTCTTCGAGATAAAGCTAAGGCTTGGTTAGTTTCTCTACCACCCGAAAGCATCACTACTTGGAATGAGTTAGTTCAAGCGTTCCTTGTGAAGTATTTTCTGCCGATCAAGTCCGCCAAGATGAGGAGTGACATCACTAATTTTTTCTAGCAAGATATGGAGTCGCTCTATAAAGCTTGGGAGAGGTATAAGGATCTCTTACGTAAGTGTCCTCACCATGGGTTGCCAATATGGTCTTAAGGGCAAACGTTTTACAATGAGTTGCTGCCAAATATACAAGCTATGATAGATGCTGCAAGTAAGGGAGCTTTAAATAACAAAACTCCAGAGGAAGCCTCCAATTTGATTGAGGTGATGGCGAGCAATAACTACGTGAGGCCTTCGAAAAGAAATTTAACAAGGAAAGCAGCGGGAGTGCACAAAGTTGAAGGCTACATCGCATTGGCTGCTAAACTTTCAACCATTCAAAAGCAATTGGGAGTTGCCCTAAAGGTAAATGCTATTGAAACTTGTTCTCTAACATGTGAATTTGTGCAAGAAATCATTTATCTAGAGATTGCCAAGTCAAAAGTTTGTTTGCTGAACCCGAACAAGCGCATTATGTCAACAATTTTCAAAGAGGGCAAGGGAATCCATACTTAAGCACATATACTGCAACATAGGAAAATCATCCAAATTTCTCGTGGATTAATAATAATGATCATAAGTCACATCGGAAAATCAATCTGCTTCCATACGAAAACTTGAGACTCAAATGGGACAAATACATAGTATTTTATTGAGAAAAGTTCAAGTATCATTGTCTAGTGATATCGAGAAGAATCCAAAGGACCAACTCAATGCCATCATGTTAAGAAGTGGCAGGGAGCTGAAAGAATCAAGAAAAGCTGAAGAAATTGAGGAAAAAGTTGAAGACACGAAATTGGATAGAACCAACAATGCCTCAACACTATGCCTAGGCACAAAACCCGAACTTGAGAACAAAGGCCAAGATGTGAAGAAAGATGAAGCCTCTCTTTCGTATCCTCATAGACTACAAAAACTGAGATTGGACAAGCAATTTGGTAAGTTCATGGATATGTTTAAAAGCTTACATATTAATATTCTTTTTGTAGACATGTTGGAGTGAATGTTAAAGTATGCGAAGTTTCTAAAAGAGTTCCTCATGCACAAAAGGAAGTTTGAATAACACGAGAGGGTCATGCTCACCGAGGAATGTAGTGCGATCCAGGGAGTTTTAATATTCCTTGCACTATTGGTAGTTTTTATTTTGATAAAGCTTTATGTGATTTAGGATCTACCATAAACTTGATGCCATTTTCTATTTTCAAGAAACTTGGTTTAGGAGAGGTGAAGCCAACCATGATTCATCTTCAATTGGCGGATAGATCCATAACATATCCTAGGGGAGTGGTGGAGGATGTCCTAATAAAGGTAGACAAATTGATTTTCTCGGTAGATTTTATTGTGCTTGATATGAAGGAAGATCGAGAAGCACCTCTAATTTTAGGAAGACCTTTTCTAGCTATGGGTAAGACTTTGATAGATGTTCACTAAGGAAAGCTAATCTTAAGGGTAGATGATGAATAAGTAGAATTTAATGTTTTTGATGCTATGAAGTATCCATCCGAGGTAGATACATGTTTTGAGATTAGCATTCTTGATGACAAAGTAGCTGAAACCTTAGAAGAAAAATACCCTTGTCCACCCCTAGGAACTTGTGTAGTCAATTGTAGGGCTATAGAGGAGGAGATTGAGAATAAGAGTGAAAGAGAGCAACTGAAGCTTTATGTAGATGGTGGCATTAAAGATATGAAGGCGTTGATTTTCCTAGATGATCCGGATTGAAGGAGTCAAAAAGAAAGAAAAAAAGTCAAGCTTACGACTTTAATAAAGCGCTTTTTGGGAGGCAACCCAAGCTCTTAACATTAATTTTGATTTTTCCAATTGTTTTGAATTTATTTTAGATTTTTGTTTAATGTGTTAAGTTGTGATAACTTTGATTTGGTTTGATATGTTAGTTGTTTATGTTTCACCCATAATTTCTTTCATGCACACTAAATTGGCCAAGAAAGGCGCATAGTTTGTTTTCTTTTGACTAGATTTCCGATGACTATTGGACATAACAAACATTATGCATGCCTTCACGCAATTATCTCCACATAAATGTTGCGCACGAAGGGTATTGTAGTTGTTCTCTTTGCACATTGAGGGCAATGTCTATCTCTAACATTGGGGGTAAGGAATTTTTTTTTTTTTTTTAATGGCCAAATTTAGTTTCCTTTGATGGACATCTTTAAATATCTTTTGTTTTTAATTATCACTTTAAAAGCTTTTGGTGGAATTGTTTTAGGTATGTTGTAGGGTCAAAGAGTCAATGTATTTTGTTTTATTTTGGAACTCATACATAAGTCAATGATAAGACCATGATTGTGAATTTGTAACATTGAGAATTTATTAACTTTTGCGTAGTGTAAGGATGATAGTAGATGACAATTGCATATAGTTATGACTCTCTTGGGAATGAGTTTGATTGGTTGAGTAATTCGGAAACTTAGAGATGTTTTATTTGTGTTTTTATGGGCAATAGATTTTTGTGAAAATTGTGCATAAACTCTAGAACTCATTTGATAACCACTTGAGGCGAAATCCTAGAATCCGCATTGCTTAGGATATGATTTAGACAATTTTCTTTAGAACGATTGAGCCTTTCAAGCCAACCTATATTACTTTATCCCTAGTTAACACTTTGAGCCTATTATTATACACTTGGTAAGCCTTATTTTTTTAAGTATGTTGTAGGGTCAAAGAGTCAATGTATTTTGTTTTGTTTTGGAACTCATACATAAGTCAATGATAAGACCATGATTGTGAATTTGTAACATTGAGAATTTATTAACTTTTGTGTAGTGTAAGGATGATAGTAGATAATAATTGCATCTAGTTATGACTCTCTCGGGAATGAGTTTGATTGGTTGAGTAATTCAGAAACTTAGAGACGTTTTATTTGTGTTTTTATGGGCAATAGATTTTTGTGAAAATTGTGCATAAACTCTAGAACTCATTTGATAACCACTTGAGGCGAAATCCTATAATCTGCATTGCTTAGGATATGATTTAGGCAATTTTCTTTGGAACGATTGAGTCTTTCATGTCAACCTATATTACTTTATCCCTAGTTAACCATTTGAGCCTATTATTATACACTTGGTAAGCCTTATTATTTTTTTTGTAAACCTACTATATCTCACCTTGACGATGAAGCCTAAAACACTTTCCAACACATCTTATTGTGAGAGGCTTAATTTGGGATGACCTTAGAAGAAAAACTCATGAAAAAGAAAAAAAGGAGTGTGGTGAAAAAAAAAAAAAATGCATCTCTTGGACCACAACCCGAGTTTATGCAATGAGATAGGTTAGGGGTTAAAAAAAAATTAATAATAATAGTAGAAGCAAGGTGGGGTAGACAATTGTGTTTATAAGTTAATATCTTCCTATGAAAAAAAAGTGCAAAAGAAAATTTTTTTTTTTTTTTTTTGGGAGAAAAATAAGAAGAAGTAGCTGGTGAGAAGAACCTGAAATGAGGTACATTACATGAGGGTTTGTGCTAATGTTGGAAGGAAGAGTTCAATCAATGTGAAAGAGTAGCGGGTGAATGAGAAGGGAAGCAAAGAGGAGATTGTTCATGGTCATTTACTGTAAAATATTAAGTCTCTTACATCTTGTTAAAAATTCATTTATGTTCTTTCATAAACCATTACCTTAGTCTAATGTTACAACCATGGTAAAGACCTAATTATCCGAGGTAGTGATTGGATTCTACATCAGTGGAGAATGGTTTGAAAAGTGAGCCTATGGAGTTTGATTGTACATTTGTTTTTTTTTTTTTTTTTTTCTCTTTGCCTATGAAAGCTATGCATAAAATCATCCGAGTTTTTGGATGAATGGTTTGCGAATGATTATGGAGAGTCAATAAAAAAAAGTGCAGTTGAAATTCACTTATTCTTTGCATTTGCATGTTGTTAATTATTTGATTTATTCATATTGACACAATTTTTGAGATGATTATTTGTATGGATCCTAAAATATTTGTTTGAGTCTAGGTGAAGTTATGTTTTGATGTTTGTGGATATTATCGCTAGAAACCTTCACGAGATTACAACTCGCCCAGCAAGGGCCGCCTAGGGGTTTAAAGGCTTGTTGCATATGCTAAATGTAACCGTGAGAATCTACGGAAGTGATTTAGGATAGTTTAGATATATATTTTATTTTGTTTTTGTTTTCAAGCTAAAAGACTTGTTTTATTGCTTAACTTGCTCGAGACTAGCAAGAAGTTGGTTGGGGGTTGTGATAAGAGCTTGAAAATACACAATTATTTAGTGGTTTATGGGGACTATTTGGGAGAAATTAGGCTTAAATTGGTAAGTTTACTTAATATTTTCATAAATGTCTTTTATGGGATCATGGGTATAGTTGAGTGTTTTTTAGGTTATTAGTGCTAAATCTTATGCTCGGATGAAGAATCATGTTAGCAACGGAATGAGTGATGAGTATAAACAAACGGATAGAGAATCGGAGTTGAATTGAAGAAGTTATGGAGCTTTGAAGTAAAGAGGAGACTCTAGATTACGCTTCAGTTTGATCATGTCTCAGTGTTTTGACAATAACTCCCTTGGATTAAGACGATTCTTCAACTGTTGAAAACCTGATTCAAAGGGCTAAATTTTATATGTTTACCACTTCTCCAGATTCCATCGTTATCGTGCTAAAAAATCATCATTTTTGGAATGCTGAGGAATGATGCGAGATTTGAACTAAAGAAGAGGAGGTTATCACTGTGTCGCAGCACACTTTGTCCAAAATCAACCGTGTCGGGCACAGTCACGATAGCTGGAAATCTTTTTTCCGTTTTTTATTAGGAAAATAGGGTTTAAGAGCCCTAAACTAGATAGAATTAAGAAAAACAAAACCCTAACCCTTGGGGAATATAAAGAAAAGTTTTTTAGCATTATTTTAGGGATTCTTTGGAGAGAATGAGAGAAGAAAAATCTATAGAGAAGGAAAGTGACCCAATTTGTGGAGCTTTGATTCTCAATATAGAGAAGTTCTTCTCGTTCATTTCTTACAGACTCATGATTGTTTTAATAAAGATCATTGTTTCTTTCATGTTTATTATGAACTAATTTTATTTTCTAGGGCAAAGACCAAAGATGTAGCCCAATCTCTTGATTATTTGTTGATTTATTTATGTTAATTTTTATTAAGATTTCTTCCTAAGTTTTATTATTATACTTAATGCTTTTGATTCTTAAGGGCCCAAGAATTGAATAAATTAATGGACTAAGTTAAGATCGAGAGATGATACTTAGTTGGTCTACAGTAGTAAAACCATAGGTTGAGCGAACACTAGAGATAGGTTACCGCGACTTGTGATGTTCTAGTAAACTCCATAGAGCGTAATGATCTCAAATTGCTTAAATCTGATTAGAGATAATTCGGATTAGTAATTAAGAGTTAATTTGATAATTGTTCGAGAGAAAATTATTGGAAATTTAGAGAGTTTGATCTTTAAGAAGAGCTTAAGGATATTAGCATAAGTTATCAATACATATGAGTAAAAGTTGGTGTGAAATCTATGCCCTGAGTCTAGTCATCTTGCATTAAAACCAAAGATTTATTTAGTTGTTTTCTTTTTAGTTTTGTTATTAAAATTCAATTGTTTACTTTAATTTTAAGTTTTTCTCATAAAATTTGGATTAATCAAATAGTAATAGGATAGCTTATTTTGATAATTAATAATAGTAATTCTCTTGGGTTCAATATCCATATTCTTATACTTTATTACTTGCATGATTTCGTACACTTACAAAAATCAACAAATTTTCCTGATAAGGGAACCATATAGCTTAGAGAATTATTATGTCGATTCATCCTTGCAGCTTCATTATTTATGATTTCGGCGTTGTTGTGTTTTCCAACAGAAGGATGAAAGTGAAAAGAAAGGAAGAACATATATATATATATAAATTAGTTAACATTATAGAGGGGAATGTTCATATGCCTCTAGTTACTTACAGCTTAATTAAAACCAAATTTCCACAAATAGAGAATGCTGAAGATTCACATTTTTAGGTTAATAGCAGTAATTTACAAAAAGAACTCCCCCACATTGGATATTTAGAATTTTCCAGATTAGAACATTACGAATTTCCATCTGTCATTGATGTAGCAGTCATGAAGTCACCTAGATATATCATATTGTTGAGGATAGCCGAGCTGCTCCATCTCCCAATTCAACTTTGAAGCAACTCTTTCATGGCAGGGAACATACTCCTATAGAAAAATAAGAAATCGAAAATGAGAAACGACTAGATATGCACTAGATCAAACAGTAAATTTAAATGTCCATTCACAGAAATGTCCGTAAATGCACTAAGAAGAAAGGCGTGAAGGTTTAGTGCTTTCAAATATACAATAGTAAAAGGGCATTTTGTTCATTTGCTTAGATAGACTTAGGCTAGATTTGAAAGTGATCACCACAACACTCAAATCTTTAGTGCAATTTTGCACTTGTCTTATACATTTTGTCTTTTTTCTCAGGTAACAAACTCACTGAAACAATAGATTTCGAATTTCAACTGGAAGTTCGTTTTTCATGAGATAATGGGATGAGCATTATATTCAAGCAGATGAAATGGCCCTTGGCAGACTTTAGAAGACCAGAGAAGTGAAGAGTAAATATTGAAACCCCAAAAACACTCTTTTAAGTAATTATGAAGGTAAGAAGATACAAAATTATAAATATATGTTCCCATTATACCTCCAATTTCTTGACTAACTCCTTTGCTGTTGGTGCAGAAACAATGATTTGGCGTGCACTTGGACTAATAAATCCCTCTTCCACAGCTTTGTCAATAAATGAGAGTAAGGAATTGTAGTATCCATCAACATTAAGCAATCCCACCTGCAAAACATTAAAAGAATGAACATCATTAACTATATTAATCAATTAAAGAGAAACTGTAATTAGCAGATCCTAAAAGTTACAGAGACAAACTGGTTTGTCATGTATCCCTAGTTGAGCCCAGGTGATGACTTCAAGTAGTTCTTCCAGAGTCCCATAACCACCTGCAATAATAAAATTGTATTAAGCACGATTAGTTGTTAATGAAAATAAGATTTAACAGTAAAACAGATCATAGCCATATGATTACATGTTATCAAAGTCTCAAAACTAATGTAACCTCAAATAAAGAAAGAACTGTAAAAGTAAAAAGCAAAACATCTCTTTGACTAGTTACCCTAAGAAAATTGGAACAAAAAAATCAACTAGACTAGGGATAATGCCCAGTATTAATCATTAACTTCTTAGTGCTAAAGAGTAAAAAAGACTAATTTTAACTGTCTGTTTCACTCTGTTCATGGAATAAGGGGCAAAGATTGTTGCAGTCCACTTCAACTACTATTCATTTTGTGGGCTTCATGGCATGAATCATAGTAGTTTTCTAATGACTATTTAGCCCATGACTTTTTTCCCACACCCCAAAACATTGTATTTATTGCTTCCATCCCTTGTGAAAACAGAGGCACAATCTTCTGCCAACTCCTTCAGGTCATAATGTCTATCATATTATCATATTAAATTTCTCTCTCACTCTTAAAACCATGACTAGAAGACATGGACAACAAAATGACTGCTATACCCTTGCATATCCTCCAATCCATCATCTTCCAAAGTTTTCAAAACTCAGGATTCGAGACAATAATTAGTCTTTAAAGTTGGCTATTAAAAGAGAAGATAAAAAAATAAAAGAAAAAGAAGTGCGGTCCTTGAAAGGGGAGAGAACATGATTTCCCTGTTAGGTGCAGGTGCTGGTTGGCAAAGACTATTTGGTGAAAGTTTTATGAACATCCTTTACTCCATATATGGTAGGAAAAGAAAATGGGTTCAGTATTATAACAGGCCCTATATGAATACATTAAAAAGGAGAAAAGCATAATAAACAACAGGAGGGTTCCTCAGAAGCTCTAATTTTCAGTGTTAGAATGTTGATGGGTCAAGAACTTGGGTTTGAAGGGTTGCTCTCTAATCATGAGTCTTGGGGTTCGCGACATAAGAGTTTAAAAGAATGTGACAATTTACTCTTATTCATATGCTCTCACTACAGTAACAACACCATAAAAGGTCAAACATCACAGTATTTTTAACAGTTATACAGCTAAAATGTCATCTCATCACTGTTTCATAGTCCTTTTGAGTATACTGAAAGTCAGTGCTTAAACATGCTATCCAAAAGAGGTTTCCATGAAAAAGGTAAATTAACATTGAAAAGAAAAACCACAGCTAGATTAACTCAAAAGCAATTAGTACTAAGGAAATGGGATTACACAGAGGACTGTTTTAATTTCCTTTTTCGGAGTATTGGTCTCGAGAATCAATACACTGCATGTGATAAAACTTCTATGCCAAACATGGTAAAATATAAGGAACTGATGGTCAATAAGTTTCCCAGATTTGCCCAAGATTTTTGGTCAATGTTTAGAATTTGGCAGGGCTTTATACTAACCTGGTAAGGCAATAAAAGCATCTGAATGCTTAGCCATCTCAGCCTTCCTTTGATGCATGTCTGCAACTGCCTTCACTTCCCCTACTGTTTCACCAGTTAACTGCAAAAGGCACAGAAAAAATAAAATGAAGATTAATATTTGGAGTTTTCTGCAGTGAAGCAATGATGAGGTTTTCAGGAAATGATGGGCTTATTTCAAAGAACTGCAAAGTGAATTCATTTAGACCTAAATGAGATGATAAATAAATTCTGAGTTCTAGAAGAAGCCGATGAAGAAAGGACAAGAAAAAAACCTGTGCAGCCATTAGAGATAATAACAAAAATCCAAATATACAAACAATATGAAGGATTAGAGCCAACTACACCAATAGCGTCACGGATAAGGCTATCAAGTATTCATTAGAGAGGCAGAAAGTCCATAGAAACAAAGACAAAATGATACAAGGAACATTGGAACAGAAAAGGACCAAAAAAAATAAAGAAAAAGAATAACAAAGACAACAATTTTTTTTAAACTTTTTTTATGTAGGAAAAGATAAAGCAACAAAAAAAAAAGCGAAGTGAGGAAACAAAAGGATTTGAAAATAAAGACAGAAAGTGTGGTAGAAGAGAAGTGAACAAAAATGAAAAAAGCCATTCATGGTGGAAAGAAAGGCAGAAAACAATAAAGAAGCTGCAGGGGTTGTTTCTTTTTCTTTTGTATTTAATATAACGGGAAAAAGGTTGAAGACTTTTTTCTGGATGGAACAGACATACCTCTCGAGGCATGAGCGTCTTGGGAATAACTCTGCAGCAAGACAATAACATGACAAAAATCAATTGAAACACAGAACAAAACCAACCAAAACAGCAAACCACCTCGCTCACTTTGTTCCTTAATCTGTTTAAGTGATTTTTATATGCAAGATTTGAGTCAAACTTAAAGGAATAAAAGAAATTAAAGGGAAGCTTACCCAATAACATGGCGACCTCCATCATGAACAGCTTGTGAAACCAATCCCATCAAACCTATGCTACCACCTCCATAGACCAAATCGATGTTCCTAGAGACCTGCAACATAACATTATCAAATCAGCTCAAAGAGACTAATAAAGCCATTTTTTTACTTGATGAAATGGAATAAAGCAGTGTTTTTTTTAAAACTACAATTAGCTATTCTAAGAATGCAGAGACACCGGTGAGATTGAAATTAACTGTTTGATACTCATTTAACAAGGTAGTACCTGTTTGATACTCATTTAACAAGGCAGTACCTTGTTTGACATTGAAGTTCCAAACTTTAAAAATCCTAGGAGAAGGTGAAGGTGAAATTGGGAAGATGAAGGAACAGTAATAACAGTCACAGGTATTGAAAAACATAGAGCATTTCTTATACGTCTCTAAAGTGGGCTTATTTGTAATGCCACTTTTTCCTTTTTCCTGATAAGGACATTGAGGAGAGAAGAGGACAACACATTTGCATTGTTATGCATATATGCTATAAGATAATCAATGAAGAAGAAAGGTTAAAATTATAAAGACTGCAAAAGGTCAAAAACAAAAAACCAATTTACAAAAGAAGTTGCAAACACCAGAAATGAAGTTTAAGCAACTTCCAATGGATTTGAGGCAAAACCCATCTCACGTTTACATGTTATACAAAAGGGTTTCTATCACATTAGTCACAAACCCAAGAAAGAAAATGAAAAACCAAAACCATTTCTGAAAAGAAAAACAAAAGAAAACATATAAAAAATGAAGTCTTTAAATACCAATTCTTTGCCAAGCTCAATGGCAGCATCTTGGTAGCTACTCTTCTTGCCTTGGCTACTTCCACAGAACACACAAATCCTCTTAAACTTAGACTGATTCACACCACTCTCCATCTCCATTTGGTAGCACTAACAAAAATTTTCTCGATATGTTTTGGTTGGCTATTAAAAAATACAAGAATCTGCCTTCTTTTGTGCTGTATCTAAATGCTTTCTAAGCAAGATATGTGTCACAGAAGAATACAAGTATCAACTAGACCCGTTTTTCGATTGACCACTACTACTAAAAATGCAACTGCTACTCTCTGTAGTGCGTTTCTCTCCATGCGTATTTATAAAACCTTGTCACACGTGAGTACCTCTAGCACGCTTGCAATCCAACCCAGACATCCAGCTAATATTGGCGCGCGTGGACCACTTGTGCTAATGCTTTTTTTTTTAAATTTTTATTTCTTCTGCTCGTAAACATATTAAAATTTTATAGTGGATTTTATTTGTCCCATATGAAAATATAGCTTCTATTTATGTATTTAATTTTATAGACAAGGCTTACTTCCACATTGGACATGACGTCGGTATACAGTCCCTTTATTAACACAATGAAGCATGTAATTTTTTTATGTTTACTCGATGAAATTGCGTCGGAAAATATGTCTATAACAACGTGAAACCCGACGGTGCAATAGGACCAGGTTACGGTCCTAGACACTGACGCATAGCTGCATTGCACTAGGCTTCCCGGCCACAATCCAATCCTTTAGACACCCACAATATGTTAATGTCACCGATTGAAAGATGTAATTGATTAATTTACCTCCCAAAAACCACCTAAATCTAAGTTTGTCATGTAGAAGAAAATACTATTGAAATGGTTTAATACGGAAAAAGACAACTAGGAGAGAGGCAGAATCTTTAGTGCACAAATTTGTTAGTTAATTAATCAATTTAGCCCATTTGGTTGGGTGCAAAGAAAGTTGTTGACTGTAGTCTTCCGCATTATAGTTTTTAAGTAGTAAACTTTTAGATCAAAGACAAACTATTCTCTTTTCAGCTAGAAAAGATCAAATATGGACATACTGGGATGGGTAGAATTCTTTAATCCAGTATGACATAGGGCATTGCGCAATGACATATTGAATAATAATCTATTTTACGAATTTACAGTACAACAAAAACATGTTTTCTGAGCAAGTATGGAGCACAATTTTAATAAAATAGTTTATTTAGAGCATTGTGCTTTGATGATTGAATAAAAACATAAGTGGGTTATGGTTTATCACCTTGTCTTTCTTACTAGACAAATTTGTTGTAGGCGTAGGAAACATTTTAGTTTCATTGCACGCATCTCTTCCCTACTCTCCAAGCATGCTGTCCCCAGCCCCATTCTCCACCTATCAATAAAAACTCTCTATTTTTAATCATTTAAAAAAAAAAAAAAAAAAAAAACCCATTTCCTTATTCAAACTATTGATATATTGTTCTACTATTTTATTGTTTCTTCAGTTGCCAGGATTGCAGGAACTGAACCCACGTTCTTAAACTAATGTGTGACTTAATTTATTAAACATCCCCAATCCCAACGTCGGCCTTTCCTTACTCTAGCTGGCTCTATTTTTATTTTGCCCGTCTCACTCTCCTTATGTTTAGAGATTATAAACTCATAATTACTATTGCTTATTAGGGGATCGAGCTTATGCTAATAAACTATTAATGTACATTCTGCATGCTTGCATGCGCATTTAAACCATGTTTTTGTCTGTTTGTTTTTGTGAGTTATTCTAAATATATATATGCGCCTATGTGAAATTGGAATCCTGTTCATTTGTCAGAAACTTCGTAACTCTCTCTGGTTAATGATCAGTTCATAGCTGACAAATTGTTAGTAAATAGCAGTCAACATAAGGATTCTTTACTTCATTGAAGAATTGAAAGTTTTAACCTTTCTCTTTTGGAAGAAAATTCCTAGCAACAATGTTGAATGATTAGATCACCCACATATCTCAATCATGGTATTCTAGTGAGCTGAATCATGTAGAATATGATACCAAATTAGAAAATCTCCGTATATTAATTGACAGTTGATACTCAAAAATTTGACCTATACAAATAGACCTCTAATGCTACATTATCAATTTTTATAGAAGAAGATGACAATGTTTTGTATGTTTTCACTTAATTTGTTTTCTTTCTACTGTTGAGTCCCATAAATCTAAAATAAACTTGAATTGGCAATACTAAAATAAAGGAAAAACAAAGGATAGACAATTACAGAGAGAGATCTGTCTTTGCCATGGCATTTCATTGCTGCAGGTTCTGAAATTCTGGCAAGATATATATTAAGAAATAATAAAGTAGAAATAATTTAAAAAAAGTTGAAGGGTGTGGTGTGAATGCAGGCAGATTTTGAGCCAAGCCCTGAAGGTGAGATCTGCCATCGCCTTCTAGTCTTAATAACACCCGACCTATTCCTTTATTACCTTCGTTTCCCAATGCATGATTTGCCATTTTTTGATGAGAAGTCCCATAACTTGGAAGATACAATGTGTAATCAAATTTAGCAAAAAAGAAATTAATAATTGTATTGGTGAAGGTGACATTTATTAGCAAAGTCCATTCAGTGACTTCTCTTGTGTTTCATGCAGATGTATCAGAACTCTTCTTTCCTTGTTCATGAATGTTAGCAGAACCAACCAAGAGATTTTTCATGACAAGATAATTGAAATAGAGAATCAGAGATTCAAGAAGTGCAGACTGATGAGAGGTTTATTCAATTGGTCAACTTCTGCTTTTCTTTTTTGATCAGTCAACAATTTAAACTAATACAAGAAACGTCAAAAGTAGATTATATATAATCTAAATCAGAATCTTATACAAGTATACTCTAATCTCATATAATTTGTTTTCGGGTTTTGGCCGAATGATATGTTCCCACCCGAAGTTTAACCTAATGATAATTTACTATCCAAAAAGTTTGAAAACGACAATTAACCACCAACCATTAATTTTGTTCATTAAACTGAAGAATGATAGGATGGTAACTTTTCTCTCAAAACCACCCATTGTTGGCAATTGCCGTCGACCTTTTGATGCTTTAGTCGGAATTCTCACCAATTTCAGCAAGAAGAACTTCCCCAACCTTGATCTAAACCTTCCCAATCCCAATGTGACCGTTCTTCTCGACAAAATTGGTCGATTCGTGCTACCTTTGCACAACCCACTCCCCGTGCTTACCGTATTTAGGCCAAATCCAGTGTCGTTGAGCATCCCCACGACCACCAACAGACTCCCCACAACCCCCTTAACAAAACCCCTTTCTTTCTCGAGAGATTCCACCCCTTACCGCCAGCTACTGCGCACAATTAACTTGCGCGATTCCAGCCTTTTTCTGGCTGATCATGGTGTTGACAACCCCAGCCATCACCACCCTTTAGCTCAATAGCTTCCCCCCTGCAAAACCCCTAACCTTCCTAGCCCCGATAGCCCACCGTTCGCCGTCTGTTGCTTAACCTAGGGTTTGTTGCATTTTTTTGAAAGTGCTTGTTGACGATTGTTGTTTTGATGAAATTGAAGTTTGGGGTTTGTTTGAGGGATTAATTGAAGTGTTTTGTGATTGAATTTGGTCGGAAAACCAATCATTCATTGCCAGTCATCCTCCCAGCCCAATCTACCCACCAACCATTCGTGAAAAGTCCCTAATCATCTCCCTGCGTGCCGTAGCTCCCATATGTGCATGCCTTGCAACACGCAATTCCGGTCAAATTGCACCTAGCCAGTTGCAATCCGACCAAATCGTATCCAACTGATGCGATTCCAACTGATTGAATAAAATCTAAGATTTGGATTCAAAGAGGAAATGGTATTTTTGTTTTTACAATTATTGCAACATGTCAAATAACGAATTTTATTAACAAACCCAATTTCGCCAAGCAGGGAATCCTCGAAAAAGTTCCAAGGTTAAGGACAGAAAAAATTATGGGTGCATTTGGTTTAGTATTTTGGATAGGATTTTGGGGATAGTATTGGGTTATTGGATAGGGGAGTATTACGAGGTAAATTTTAAAAATTTGTAAAAAAACCCTTAGGTTTACTAATTTAATTAAAGACCCTAACAAATAAAATAACAAAAACACCCCCACCACCTGCAGTGCCAGATTCCGGCCACCACCGCCGGAATCTGGCCGAAAAATTTTGTTACGGCACAGACCGGTCAGATCTGTGCTATAACACGTCGTTATGACCTTTTTCGGCCAGATCCATGGTGGATCTGGCCAGAAAAGGCCAAATCTACGGTCTGTTATGGACGTCGACGGCCGGAAAATGTCAAACGATGGCCATCTTTGGCCTTCAGCGATCTGGCTGGAAAAGACCACATTGGTGAACTTCCGGCCATTTCTGGTCGAAAGTTAGGCCGTTGTACAGATTTCGGCTATCACCGACGGTGGTTGCCGGAATCTGACAAGTTGGGTTGATGGGGGTGTTTTTGTTAATTTTTAAACTTTTTTTCAGGGAGTATTTAGTGAAATTAATAACCTTATGAGGTCTAAAAGTAATTAAAAAAATAGGGTAATATTTCTAGAATAATGTGTCAAATATTATTTGGAGAATAGGATCCAGAATATGGATAAAAATACTAAGCCAAACATAGCCTATATTTCCGTCCCCCATACTAGTACCCTCCCCATTCTTAATAATTTAATATTTCATTTAAAATTTAAATAAAAACAAAGGTAATTAATGACTTTATGGATACGGAGCTGGGTGGATATTGCACTCTCCTCCTAGGGATCTATATCTTCACGAGGAGGGGGCTGGAGATTAAGGTCCCTGTCCCGTTTGCGGAAATTACCAACCCTATTAATTTGAAGCAAAAGCTTTTAGACTTAGAGATGTTACATCATTGATGCCATATTGTATACACAGAATAGTCAAAGAGATGCAATTACTGAAATCCTAAGGTGACAAATGACGGGATTTGAATGGGTGTTGAAGCATTTAGAGGAATCACATAGAAATAGATGTGAATGGGTAAGAAATGATATGTGTCACATTACACAATTATTCTCTCTTTTTATTTTTCTGCAAAATTAAAACCTTTAATTCTTTTTTTCAGTTTGTCTGAGAAAGTTGTAACACATCAAACAAGGTTTTGTTCTTTGTCCGTCCAAAAATTAAAAAGCACTAAGATTTCTCTTCACCGTCTCATTCCTTAATTTGATCATGTCAGTTATATAGTCGGTTGGCTCTTTTGACTTTTGTTCGAATCATTTTCCATCAAACTATAACTACCCAC